GGCGTGACCATCCCCCCTGGGGGGTGATTTCTCGCTTTCTGTCTCTATGTCTCTCTCTGTCTGTCTGGCGAGCGCACGCGCCCTATAGCGAAAACCTCTCCAAAAAAAAAAAGAGAGAGAGAGAGAGAAGCATTCCAGAAATACCGTTCTTGCTTTTTTGAGTTGGCAATACATCATGGACATTTTTTCATGTCAGTATATTTAGACCTCCTGTATTCTTTTTAATGGGTATAGAGTATTCTGTTGTTTAGTTGTGCCATAATTTATTTTATTAACTAGCACAATACTTGAATTAGGTTCTTTTCAATTATTTTTACTGCAAACTGCGCAACAGCAATCATTTTTATACTTATAGGACTATTTTACAAATTCTCTTTAAGGATAAATTCATAAAAGTGCAAGGATTCTGGAGCAGAGTATGCACATTTATTATTCTGATAGAGGCTGTAAAATTGTTCTCCAAAACCTATCATTCTTTTTATGCTTTAAAAATAACATTTTGTGGGACCAACAGGTGGTATAGTGGTTACAGCATTGAATTCCCACATGGCTGACTGGTTCAAGTCCTGGACCCAGCAGCCTGAAACACACTGGGTGCATGTGTGTACATGCCCAAAATCCCAGGAGGAGAATGGTGAAAGGATTGCAGAATCCCATCCCCCCTGGGGGGTGACTTCTCACTTTCACTCTCTATCTCTCTCTCTCTTCTCCAGTGAATGCACACACCCTATGGCCAATAAAAAAGAAAAAAATAACCTTAAAAATAAAATTAAATAACATTTAGTTTTAAAAATCTATTGAAATATAATTACTTACCAGTATTTCTACCTGATTCTCAAAGGGTCTTAAATAATTATAAATAAAGTCTCATTGATATCATCTTGATTAAACTCTTGAAAGAAATGAATGATTAAACAGTGCTTTGAATTTTGAAGAAGGCTGGGTGGAGATAGAACTTATGTACTATGAATTTCTTAATAAAGATTACCCATTACTTTTGTAATTAAAAATATATTTTTTGAGGTAACAACTTTACATGAATATAAGTCATTTACTCATATTTTCTATAACTTCTTAGATTTAAGTAGTAAGGTAGAAAAATTATTAAATTAGCACAAACGAACTTATGCTTTCAGAACAAATCAATAGCCTTTAAAAGGAGTCCCACATTTCTGCTTTTATTGTTATTCCTAATTATAAAAACAATATCTTAATAAACTAAATGATATTCCTAAATCATAGTACCTTTTTCAGGGCTGTTTTGTATTGATTCTGCTTTCTTCTCATCTGCAGGCTTGGAAACTAGAGGAAAAGAGGCCGACTACATTTTGTAAAATATTTAACAAATACCTTTTGAAAGTAAAATAATATTTTATATAAAGACTTATAAACATATGTTATTTTCTCCTAATTCAGCAAATCAATTTTAGCTGGCCTAATCTTTTGTCATTAGATGACAAAGTAATCAAAAACTTCCATTGTAAAAACACTGAAGGAAAAAGCCAGATTAAAAAAAAAAAAGAAATCCAGGGTCAGACAGTAGCATAGAGATAAAATGTGATACTATGAGAGGTAATCCCACTTGAGAGAGGTCCCAGTTCAGGTCCAGAGAGTTCCTTGAGTATGTTGAGCACGCATGTGCTTATGATCCCGGGCTGGCTGAAGGCTAGAGGTAGATCAATGTATTTAAACTCTCGGAGGCACTCTTGGTCTCTCTCATTTGCTCACTCATGGAAGAAATACATATTAAAAAAATCCTACAGGGAAGTATATCAAATATTAAGTATTGGGACCAGCAGTTGGAGTAATGGCTATGTCACTGGACTCCCATGTAGTCGACCGTGGTTCAAGTCCCGGACCTGGTGGCTTAAACTCACGCAGGGTGTGTGTGCATGCGTGCCCAAGATCCCAAGAGGAGAATGGAGGAGAAGGGATTACAGCGTGGCCATCCCCCCTGGGGGATGATTTCTCGATTTCTGTCTCTGTCTGGCGAGCACACGTGCCCTATAGCAAAAAAAAAAAACAAAAAAAAAAAAACCTCTCAAAAAAGCAAGAAACAAGAACAACAACAACAAAAAATATTAAGTATTTATTTCTGGGTGGCATTTTTTTCTTTGTGACTTTTCTCAAATTAAATTGTATTATTTTCATTACCAGGAAAAAGAAAACATACACTGGAAACAAGACTGAGCTAAGAATCCTGATTGTGATAATAAATCATTGTGAAACCTTGCACAAGTCACTCCTCTCTGGGCCTCAGCATTCTTATCTACGAAAGGAAGGGACTTGACTAGACGATTTGTATGAGCTCTACAACCTTAATGTTCAAACACTTTAACACTTAGTAGCTACAAACATACATTAATCAGGACTTGTCCCTCTATAGGACATTGTGTATTTCTATAAATGATGCAAAGGATACAAAAATAAGCTCATATCACTTCCAAATTATGTCTTAGACTAATCTCTGTCTCCTATACCTACAGTGATTTATAATAAGCATCCACTCTTTGAATAATAGCTATGACCTTCAATCATCAAATATTCTATTATCTTCATTATCTTTTATCAAGGCATGAAAATGGTTTGATAAATTCTTGGAAACAACATCATTATAAACAAAACATATTTTAATTCTCTATTAAACAAGACATTCCATAAATCAAAGCCCTAAAATGCAATTTGATTAATTAGTCAGATATTGGCAGACTATGTGAAGTGTGGTACGGAAGAAGTAAAAGATATAACGAACCAAATTTTTCCAGCTGGGTAATGAGTATCTATGCCAGAAAAATCTCTATTCATGATTAATCATCAAAACAGTTAAACTTTTAAAAAGGTATTTACCATGAAGCTGACTGAAATAAAGTAATTCATCCTTGGAAAGTTCATCTCTTTTTGAAGACTCCTTAGATTTAACTTCAGTGTAAGCTGAAAACATAGAACCCAAATTACATTAACTAACATTATGGGACAGTGACAGAGTTCATAATGAGGCAGGGAGTTAAACAAAGAGTTTCTGTATTAGAAAGAGGTAATGAAGAAATAGGGAAGTGGTACTACTCTACCGTATAGCAAATAACAAGTACTTGACAATTTTAAGGTCTACTGCTTCTCTCTCTTTCTCTCTGTTTTGCTAGAGAGCACATGTGCTCACCAGAGACAGAAAAATGACCATGCCATAATCCCTTCTCCTCCAATTCCCTCTCCTTTCAGGACTTTGAGCATGCATGCACACATGCCTGGAGTGTTTCTCAAGCTGCTGGGTCTGGAACTTGAACCGTCCAGTTGGCCAAGTGGGATCTGTTGCTTTAACAACCAGGCCAACCTAGGTCTATAAATTTTGCCTCAATAGTTTTCCTAGAGCTATTACAAATTGAAGTAAGAAAATCTGGCATTTTCTTCAAATGTGATCTCAGCATTTAAAAAATATCCTCAATAATAAGGAAAACATGAAGTTGAATGCTTTGGTTTATTTCCTACCTATGCTTTAATAAGAACATAATGATTTTCCTATTTTTGACCCCTCTATTTGAAAGCATATTCAATGGCAATATTAAAAATTCTAATGGCAACTTGACCCAACAATGCAAGCTCCCTTTAAAATTATTAGGTAGTCTGCCTTTTATTTTTAGTGCTCTATTTGTGATTCGAGTGTGTGAAGGGTTAAAGATAGTTTTTAGCTTGTTGGTCTGGTAAAGAGTATTTCTTGCCTATGGGAACAGTGTGAACACATCAGCACTCTCCACCAAGAGAGTCATGTGGAAGTGCCTGCTCACATTCTCTTCTGTCTGCTGCAGGAGACATGCATTAACTTTTATAGATATTTAAATGGAGGAGTGCAATTCTTCTACAACAGAAGTGTTTTTGTAGATGGCATTTGACAGAGTGAAGTGTTTTTTACTGAATGCTTAGATTTTTTTAAAGAGTGGGTCAAGTACACCAGCCACCTCCTCAATGAATATTGCAGCTGCTGTTAAGGAGGGTGATACTTGACTTGATTGACTATTCATACATATAACAAAGTCTTAAAGTGAGGAGTGCTACTGACACTGTTGGTCTCCCTTTGGGTGTTCTGGGTTGTGTCGTATTAAATGGTTGTGAACAAGCGTTGTGATGTGGCACCCACAACCAGCTAGGCTGGGACCTACCCTTTTCACACTATCAGTTGACAATGTATAATGCCTCTAATGAACTCTTGTTTTCTAGGTGCTGCTGTGTCTATTTTAAAAATAAAGATAACTGTGTTTGAGAAAAACAAGAATAATATTTCTTGTCTATCTTGAGAAGATTCTAAAACAGATCCCAGGTGTAGCTTTAAATTATGAGGTGCTATATGTTTTTGTGAACTACTCTATCTAAACTAAAATGTACTTTTTCAATGTTCCTTCAGTTTAAAGCCTAAGACTGTTTTCTCAACGTAGGAAAGCAGACCTGGGAAAGGAAGCCTCTTAAGATCAGTGGGAAAAACTTACTAAACTAGAAGGGTGTGGCAACCTTAGGAGGTAGGGTATAATAAAAAGAAACCTGAGCTTTAGAGTCAGATAGACCTCAGGATGCAATTTATCAGCTGTGTGCTCTCTGGAAAATAATTTAAACTTTGTGACCCTCAGTTTCCTTATCATCAAAATTAGAAGGGTAATATTACCTACCTTTTAGGAATGTAATAAGCACTAACTAAAATAATGCATGTAAAGTTAATGGATGGAAAGAGCAAGCATTCAGTAAATGGTAGCTTTTATTTTCCTTCCTTTTCCAAATATTTAATATCTCTGCTCTCTGGTTCCATTTTTACAAATAGTCTGTAGTATTTTGCAAATCTGGCAGTTTGCCTACAGTTGATTTCTACTCTAATGACAAAAGAGCAACTCAAATATTATACAAACATTCAAACTATATTTAATTATTTTTTTAAAAAAGGAATGATTTATTTAATTCCACTTGTTCTTCTTCTTTTTTTTAAAAAAAAAATTTTGACCAGAGAGAGACAGAGACAGAGAGAAAGGGAAAGCGAGAAAGCAAGCCACCAGGTCTGGGACCCGAACTGTGCTTGGCCATGTGGGAATCCAGCACCTTTAAATACCACGCCACATGCCAGCCCCAAATTATATGTAATTCTTGTACATAAACTATCATTAATTTATTAATAGGAAGGAAACTTGTGGACCCATCTGTTACACAGAATCTCTTCCATAGACTTCACTGTATCTTTATCATCAAAAGTATGATTTGAAGGCCGCAATGAAGCAATGACCTCATATCATAATGACAATTATGTTATTTGTTAAAATAGAATTATATATGTATTTATATTTGTTAAAAGGGAATAAACTCATATTAAACATGATTAAAGACTGTTAAACTCTTACCTGCAGGAATATGCAGCTTAAAAAGTAGCTTAAGCTTCTCAGTAAAACTTCCATTGTACATTATGTCTGGCCAATAAAATTCAATTGTTATAATCATCCAAAGAACATTCAATCACTTCTAGCAACACAAATTAATTGACATGCAGATATTAGCCAGGAATTAGGATTCAAAAACCTTCTGTTACTTAAGCTAACAGTTAAACCACCACCAGTTAGCCAGATACTCTCCTGTAAGTTTATAAGCAAAATACTCTATCAAAGTGATAAAACATTCTTCTGCCTCTTCTGTTTATTTCAAAGGAAGATTTATGTTTCATTTGAGAGAACTGGTCTATAAGGGGCAATCCCTGGTAAGAAAGTATGCTGAGGTATCTGGAAAAGCAAAGGAACAATATCTATAGGTACAACATGTTGTTGGGGTATTTCTATGTCACTTTTATAGACTATATGGTTGGATTTTTACTGAGGGGGAAAGTCTTTCTGTAGCACTCATACATCTGAGTGTGGAAGAACAGGGATATTTTCTTTCATATTAATCATTAAAAAGTACACATCTAACAGCTTGCTTTTCTGAGAGGACTGGGGTAAAATGAAATCAATATACTTAGATTTAGCAACAAACAGAAAAAAACTATTATTCCTGAAGCTGAAGACAATGTAACCTGGGGGGACATAATCTGACTAAATTGGTAATTACAGGCAGTACTAAATATTTCTAGGGGTACCTTTATCTTTTGCTTAAAAATTATTTGATATAATCCTACCAATTGCAGAGGAGAACTCTTTGAAGTTTATAAGGCAGTCAGAGTTTTCATCCAACAATCTGAATGTCCATAAAGCTAGTGAGTCTCTGTTTGCAGAATGAGCCCAGGGACTCAACAAGTGATACAACACTCTGAACTGCTGGCAGTCAATCTGATACTGTTCCAAATATGGCAGACTTGGGTCATGGTGCTTCAATACAGGACAACTCAAACACCAATAACAAGATAAAAACAGTTCTTTCTATTGAAAATAAAAAAAGGAAAGTCATTAAATCAGAAAATATAACTTTGAAAAATATTTTTTCTTTTATTCACGTTTTTTAAAATAAACATAAAAACAGTTAAGAGTGGTTATAGTAAAATGCTATTAAAAGAGCATAATTTTTGATTTGAAGAATTACAGTACCTTAAAGATGACATAAAGTTCATCCAACTCACAAAGGCTCAATTTTACATCTTGTGATACAACACGCAACTTTGAAGAGATTAAAAGGAATTCAGAATTAATACTTCAGTATAAAAATTTCTTTGAATCCATTTATTCATCCTCTACCAGAAGAAAATATTTTTCTTTTATCTTTTTAAAGGAATAAATAAAAGTAAATGTGCCTATTTTACTCTTCTAAAAGTTGTGCATAGATATAGTTTAATACTACTCTGATATGTACTTTTACAGTCATCTCCCCAGAAATTATTGCCAAAAGATAGTTATTTAATGTCTATAAATATAAGCAACAATATTCTAAATCTCATTTCATGAGGGGACTTCAAAAAGTTCATGGAAATGGAAATTAAAGTACAGTTTAGATTGGAGCAAAAATTTTGAAATCCATGTAGTTTTCTCATAATATACATTTTACATGCACATTTTAAAGATTCCCTCATACTCCTCTTGTTTTTCCTTAATATGCCAGTGGGTGCATGCACATGCCAGAGACTGGGGGAGAGAGGGAAAGTGAGAAAGCACCTTTTATGGAGCATGGTAACACCATAATCTCTTCTCCTCCATTTCTCCTTTCTTTTGGGATTTTGGGCATGCATGCATGTGTGCCTGGTGTGTTTTCTAAGTTGCCATGTATGGGACTTGAACTATGTGGCTGGCCGTGTAGGATCCAGATTCCTTAACTACCACACCACTGGCTGGCCTTGAATTCCTTTCTTGCTATGTAAGCAATTTGTCAAGTCATGTGAAGTTGTCATTGAACATGTCAAAGGCAACAAGAGATATTTTTTACCTCTCTATTCCCAAAACCAAAATCCATGAAGCAGTGAGCTCAGGAGGTAATTTTATCCTATTCCATGAAGAATGAGCACTAATAGTACAACAATTTTGATGTTTAATAAATTTAGAAGGGTAGATTACAGGCAGATAGCAGGAATAAATTCTAGTATTGAGTAACACTGTAGAGTGACTTTATGTAACAACAATCTATTGTTTATTTCAAAATAGCTAGAAAAGAGGATTTTGAACAATTCCAATACAAATAAATGATGAATGTCTGAGGTGATGGATATTACCCCTATTTTAATATTATATATGAATATTGAAAAATCACACCACACCCTGTAAGTATGTACAATTACTATTTGTCAATTAAATATAACAACTTTTTTAAAAAAGCATATGGCATATTACACCACTGGACTCACATGATTCAAGTCCTGGACACGGTAACTTAAAACTGTGTGTTCAAGCCAGGAGGAACATGTGTGTGCGTGCCCCAAATCCCTAGAGGAGGAAGGATTGTGGCATGGCCATTCACCCTGGGAAGTGATTTCTTGGTTTCTGTCTCTCTATCTCTCTAGTGACAGCATGCATATGAGAGCAAAAAATCTCTCTCTCAAAAAAAGGACAAGGGGTAAAGAGGGCCAACCTGTGGCATGGTGGTTAAACTGAGTGTGTCTTACATGGCCAAACATAAGGTTTGAGTCCTGGACCTGGTGGCTTGAAAAACACACCAGGCACATGTGCATGTATGCCCAACATCCCAAGAGGAAAATGAAGGAGAAGGTATTGCAGCATGGCTATCCCCCCAGGGGGTATTTTCTCACTATCTCTCTCTCTCTCTCTGTCTCTCTTCAGCGAACACACATCCTATGGTAAAAACATTAAAAAAAAAAAAGAAAGAAAAAAGAAAGGAAAAACACTGGGTGTATGCATACCCAAAAGGGATGAAGGAGGAGAAATGGAAAAGGGATTATAAAATAATTATTCCCCACAGGGGTGCTTTCTCACTTTCCCTCTCTCAGTATTTCCCTGAAGAGGATGTGCCCTCTGGCAAATTAAAGAAAAAAAAAAAAGAAAAAAGGCAAGGATAAGGATAAGAGCTAGAAATAATGAAACACATAAATAAAAAAAACAATGGACTTGATAAATGAAAGGTTGGTTAGTTAAAAAAATAAATAAAATGGAAAAATCTCTGGCAAGTATGATAAAAGAAATCACAAACATCAATAACTAAAAAAGGATAATATAGCCATGGATATAGAGGTCATTAAAAGTGCCCTGCACATGTCCAGTAGGTGCCATCAAGGTTAAGATGCTGGATCCCACATGGCTGACTGTGTGGTTCAAGTCCCAGACCCAGTGGTTTGGAAATCATGCCAGGTATGTGTGCATGCCTACTCAAGATCCTGAGAGAAGAATGGAGAAGAAGGGATGAGAATAATGGAAAAGGGATTGTGATGTGGCTATCACCACTGGGAGGGGGATTTCTTACTTTCTCTTTCCCCATCCCATCCCCATGGCAAGCGCATGCACCCTACAGCAAAAACAGAAAGTGCCCAGCACATAATAAGTACCCTTAAATACGTACAGAATCAATTCCATAAGCTTTATACCAATACATCTGAAAATCTTAACAAAATAGATAATTGCCTAGGAAAATATTTAATTAAAATTAAATTGGAATAGTGAGAAAATTTGAATAGGAAGAACCAAGAAGGTAATCAAAGATTTGTCTGTCATCAAGAAGCAGCAGACTCAGATGGATATAAAGGTTTGTTTTCTCAAACCTTCAAGTAATGGATAATTCTTATGTGATCTAAACTATTCCAGAATTCAGAAAAATGACTTATTACAACTCATTCTAGGACATAAACACAACTAATATGAAAACTGATGTTAGCATGCACAAAGGGAATGTTAAACCAATGTCACTAAAACATAGGAGCAAAGCTAGCTAATCTATTTAGCAAAATTATCACATTAGAATAACAAAAGAATAATATGCCAAACCCAAATAGGATTCATTTCAAGAATGTAATAGAAATCTAATATTAGGAATTCTTTAATAAGACTTAATAAAGTAGAAATACATATAATCAAGAAATACATATACTTGAACCATGCAGTCGGTCACGTGGGATCCAGCGCCTTAACCTTGAAGTAGAAAAACATATCTCAAGCTATGGACAAGTCATTTGATTGAAATTAGCAATCTTGATCTTTAAAAAAAGTCCCAAACCTCTTAACTTAGCGACCAAATAAAACATTCTTAATTTAATAAAGGACATTTTTTCAAAAACCAAGAGCAATAAAATACTAGAAACATTCCTATTAAATTCAGGCATAAGACAAGGAGACAAGGAAGCCTGTTTTTATTTATTTATTTATTTATTTATTTATTTATTT